TTGGACCCTCTTGGGCCGTCTGGGAGGCCGTCTTGGGCATCTTGGAGGCCAGCTTGGGCCATCTTGGAGCCGTCTGGGGCAGGAAAAACATTAGCAACCGGGTCTTCCGATAGTTTGCGGTCCCTTCCGGGTGGCCGGCGGGACGGGCCAAACCCCCAGGGGAGAGTTCTTTTGGACAAAGAACCAAAACCGAAAGGACCCAGCACGCAAAGCACCCTTGTGGCAAGCCAACAGGGGGCGGCGGATATCGAAGACGCCTACCGCGAATCACCGCCGCCCCCTGCTTTTGTGGAAGCGCCCATGTGGCCGAACGTTGAGGCCAGACCTGCCAAGCTATCAGACCATGTGTTCCCCGAGTCGGTTTGGAAAGCCTTCGGGGAACACGTGGGCATCTTGAAGGTCATCTTGGCCGTCTGGAGGCCATTTTGACCCTTTCGGGTCTTCTTGGAGGACGTCTTGGAGGGCTCTTGGGCCGTCTTGGGGGCCATCTTGAGCGTCTTGGAAGTCCCTTGGGCCGTCTTGGGGGCCTCTTGGGGCCGTGTCTTGGGCCTCTCGGGCGACCTTTGGGGGCACTTGGGCCGTCTCGGGCCGTCGGAAGGCAGAAACAAAGCAAATGCCACAATCCTTCAAAAACCCATGCGAAATGAATGATTTTTGCCTTTTCGGGCCTTCCTGGAGGCCCTCTTGGAGGCCTCTTGGGTCGTCTTGGGCCATCTCAGGGCCATCTTCGGCCGTCTTGGTGGGCTCCTGGCGTCTGACGCCGTCGGAAGCCGTTTGGGGCGCCTCTCTGGTCCGACTTGGAGCCCTGTTGGAATGCTCCAGGGCCATCTTGGAGGCACATCTTGGGCGTCTTAAAAGCCTCCTGTGCCGTCTTGGGGGCCTTTTGGGGCCGTCTTGGGGCCCTCTTGGGCCGTTCTGGGGCCATCTTGGAGGCCTCTTGGGCGATCTTTCGGCGATCTTTGGGGGCTCTTGGGCCGTCTCAGGCCGCTGGAAGGCCGAAAGGAAGCAAGTGTCAAAATCCGTCAAGAACATTAGGAACATCAATGTTTTGGGCCTCTTCTGGCCGTCCTGGAGGCCCTCTTGGAGGCCTCTTGGGCCGTCTTGGGCCAGCTTCGAGCCAACTTCGGCCATCTTGGTGGTTCCTGGCACGTCTGACGCCGTCGGAAGCCGTCTTGGGGGCCTTTCTGGGCTAACGGGGGACCCTCTTGGGGCGCTTCGGGGCCGTCTTGGAGGCTATCTTGGGCGTCTTGGAGGCCATCTTGGGCGTGTTGGAGGCCGTCTTGGGGCCCTCTTGGGGCCGTCTTGGAGGCCACTTGGGCCGTCATGGGGCCCTCTTGGGGGCCTCTTGGGCGATCTTGGGGGCCTCTTGGGCCGTCTTGAGCCGTCGGAATGCCGAGAAGAAGCAAATTCCAAGATCCAATGATTTTGGCCTCTTCGGGCCCTCCTGGGCCGTCTTGGGCCGTCTTCGACTCTCTGGGGCCGTCTTGGAGGCCGTCTTGGACCATCTTGGGCGGACGTGGAGGCCATCTTGGGCCATCTTCGCGACTGTTTGAGGATGTCCCGAGCGAAGCGGCCGTTTCAGGCATCGACGGACGCGCTTTACGGGTGGCCGGCGGGACGTGCCGGAGCCCCAGGGGGAGTCCTTTGGGAAAAAGAACCAAAACCAAACCCTAAGAAGTCCAGCACGCCAGGCATCCCTGCGATGAATCGACAGGGGGCGGCGGATCGAAGACGCCTACGGCGAATCACCGCCGCCCCCTGCCTTTGTGGAAGCGCCTATGTGGCCGAACGTTGAGGCCAGACCTGCCAAGCTATCGGACCATGTGTTCCCCGAATCGGCTTGGAAAGCCTTCGGGGAACACGTGGGCATCTTGAAGGTCTTCTTGGAGGCCTTCCTGGAGGGCGTCTTGGAGGGCTCTCGGGCCGTCTTGGAGGCCTTTTGCCGGCCTTTTGGGCCGTCTTAGACCATCTTGAGGCCATCTTGGACCGTCTTGGGTGCATCTTGGAGCCATCTTACCCGTCTTGGAGGCCATCTTGGCCGTCTTGGAGGCATCTTGGAGGCCATCTTGGGCCATCTTGGCCGTCTTGGAGGCCATCTTGGGCGTCTTGGAGGCCTCTTGGGCCGTCTTGAGGCCCTCTTGGGGCCTTCTTGGGGGCCTCTTGGGCCGTCATGGGGCCATCTTGGAGGCCTCTTGGGTGCTGTTGGGGCGATGTTGGGGACCTCTTGGGCCGTCTTGGGCCGTCGGAGAGCTGAAAAGAAGAACATGCCAAAATCCTTGAAAAACCTAAGGAAAATCAATGATTTTAACCTATTCGGGCCTTCCTGGAGGGCGTCTTGGAGGGCTCTTGGGCCGTCTTGGAGGCCTTTTGCGGGCCTTTTGGGCCGTCTTAGACCATCTTGAGGCCATCTTGGGCCGTCTTGGGTGCATCTTGGAGCCATCTTACCCGTCTTGGAGGCCATCTTGGCCGTCTTGGAAGCATCTTGGAGGCCATCTTGGGCCATCTTGGCCGTCTTGGAGGCCATCTTGGGCCAAGTTGGGGCAACAAAGGCATTGACAGATGGATTTTCGGAAACTTGCGGGTGGCCGGCGGGACGGGCCGAAGCCCACTGGGGAGTTCTTTTAGAAAAAGAACCAAAACCAAAACCTGAAACATCCAGCACGCCGTGCACCCCTGTGGCAAGACCACAGGGGGCGGCGGATCGAAGACGCCTACGGCGAATCACCGTCGCCCCCTGCCCTTTCGGAAGCGCCGATGCGGCCGACTGCTGTGGCCAGAGGTCTGCCAAGTTATTGGGTCATATGTTCCCCGAATCGGTCTTGACAGCCTTCGGGGAACACGTGGGGGAGGACGGGGAGGAGAGGAGAGATAGGAAGGGGGGGAATGGAGGAGGAGGTCTCTTGAGTGCCTTTTTGGCTACTCTGGGTTTATATGGAGGAGGAGGCCATCTTGGGCGTCTTGGAGGCCTCTTTGGCCGTCTTGAGGCCCTCTTGGGGCCTTCTTGGGGGCCTCTTGGGCCGTCATGGGGCCATCTTGGGGCCTCTTGGGTGCTGTTGGGGCGATGACCTCTTGGGCCGTCTTGGGCTTGAGGCCATCTTGGGCCGTCTTGGGTGCATCTTGGAGCCATCTTACCCGTCTTGGAGGCCATTTTGGCCGTCTTGGAGGCATCTTGGAGGCCATCTCGGGCCATCTTGGCCGTCTTGGAGGCCATCTTGGGCGTCTTGGAGGCCTCTTGGGCCGTCTTGAGGCCCTCTTGGGGCCTTCTTGGGGGCCTCTTGGGCCGTCATGGGGCCATCTTGGAGGCCTCTTGGGTGCTGTTGGGGCGATGTTGGGGACTTCATGGGCCGTCTGGGGCAGTCGGAGAGCTGAAAAGAAGAACATGCCAAAATCCTTGAAAAACCTGAGGAAAATCAATGATTTTAACCTATTCGGGCCTGAGGAAAATCAATGATTTTAACCTATTCGGGCCTTCCTGGAGGGCGTCTTGGAGGGCTCTTGGGCCGTCTTGGAGGCCTTTTGCCGGCCTTTTGGGCCGTCTTAGACCATCTTGAGGCCATCTTGGACCGTCTTGGGTGCATCTTGGAGCCATCTTACCCGTCTTGGAGGCCATCTTGGCCGTCTTGGAGGTATCTTGGAGGCCATCTTGGGCCATCTTGGCCGTCTTGGAGGCCATCTTGGGCGTCTTGGAGGCCTCTTGGGCCGTCTTGAGGCCCTCTTGGGGCCTTCTTGGGGGCCTCTTGGGCCGTCATGGGGCCATCTTGGAGGCCTCTTGGGTGCTGTTGGGGCGATGTTGGGGACTCATGGGCCGTCTTGGGCCGTCGGAGAGCTGAAAAGAAGAACATGCCAAAATCCTTGAAAAACAAGGAAAATCAATGATTTTAACCTATTCGGGCCTTCCTGGAGGGCGTCTTGGAGGGCTCTTGGGCCGTCTTGGAGGCCTTTTGCGGGCCTTTTGGGCCGTCTTAGACCATCTTGAGGCCATCTTGGGCCGTCTTGGGTGCATCTTGGAGCCATCTTACCCGTCTTGGAGGCCATCTTGGCCGTCTTGGAAGCATCTTGGAGGCCATCTTGGGCCATCTTGGCCGTCTTGGAGGCCATCTTGGGCCAAGTTGGGGCAACAAAGGCATTGACAGATGGATTTTCGGAAACTTGCGGGTGGCCGGCGGGACGGGCCGAAGCCCACTGGGGAGTTCTTTTAGAAAAAGAACCAAAACCAAAACCTGAAACATCCAGCACGCCGTGCACCCCTGTGGCAAGACCACAGGGGGCGGCGGATCGAAGACGCCTACGGCCCATCCCGCCACCGTGCCTGGGTTGTGGGTCAGTGGCCTCTTGGATGTTTATTGGGGTCTCGTGGGGAGCCTCTGAGGAGCGTCTTGGAGGCAGTTCGGAAGCCTCCTCGGGCCTCATAGGGCCCGCTTGGGCAGGGCTTCTTTTGGGCCTCCTGGGAACTGCTTGGGGCCTTTTATGGGCTTCTTGGGGGCCTGCCGGCGATCTCGGGGGCCGCCTTGGGGCGGAGGGCTCGACATATCAGTTCGAGTTTCCAATCTTGGGCCCAAGACAGCCCAAGATGGCGCCAAGATGGCCTGGGAGAGCCCATACGGAACCCTCAGAAAAGTCGAGACAGCCAAAGAAGACCCCAGTAGCCCCCAAGAGGACCCTGACAGGCCCCCAAGAGACCTCCATGATGCCCCCAGGATAGTCCCTGGCGGTCCCAGCCTCAAAAAAAAACCCTTCTTCGACGTCTTTTTCCTCCGGATTATTACCGTCCTCCTTCGTCGTCGTCGTCCTCCTTCTTCTTCTTCTTCTTATGATTCCTCATTGACGCATCGGAGCTTCCCGTGCTTGTCCGGTCAGGTTTCTTAATGGGCTCCAGGAGGTCGGGAGGGTGTTCCTGGAGGTTTGGGGGTCCCTGGGGAAGAACTAGGAGAAGGTGGAGGGATAACGAGGATGAGGGAATTTGGATCAAGCAGACAGGAGGGATGAATGAGGACGAGCAGGTCTGCCTTGGCGCAGTCTGCTACCCCGGCTCCTTCATCGCCGCAACCTACGAGTCCAATGCTCCGTTCATATCCTTTGATTTTGACGGGGTATTGGGGCTGTCTTTGCCTGCGATGTCGCACGCTACAAAGTTCAACATGATGGAGAGGTTAAAGGTGACACAGCTGCTCCACCAGACAATATACTCTGTCTTCTTGTCTGCCTCCGATTCGGAGGTCTCCGAAATCACATTCGGTAGCATCAACAGCGACAACATGGCGTCTGACCTCCATTGGGTGCCCGTTTCCCGCAATACGGGCTATTGGGAAGTGATGATCACGGACATCACTATCGACAACCACCCGCAGGAGATATGTCAAAAATGTTACGTGGCCGTGGACACAGGGACGTCCGAATTGGCAGGGCCGTCCGATGTCATCGGGGAATTGGCCAATAGGCTGCAAGTAATGACCGACTGCTCGAACTTCGATCAGCTGCCGAGGCTCGGCTTCGTTGTCAATGACCAGATCCTGAACCTCGAGCCGAAAGAGTATGTCGATCAGACGACGGATGGCTGCGAGGTCTCCCTGATGCCCCTCGACGTGCCCCCGCCCAAGGGACCGCTCTTCGTCTTCGGGATTCCATTCATGGAGAAGTTCTATACGGTCTACGACAACGTGAACAGGCAGGTCGGCTTCGCGGTGGCCAGGCACCCCGGCGATGGCCCGGAGCATGCGGCGCTGAGCATGACGCAGTTGGGCGCCTCGGTGCGGAACTCGAGCTCGAGCAGGTGTCAGCGAGCGAAGAACGGTATAACATATAAACTTTTTCGCTGTCGGGGGCGCCTGCCCCTGGGCGGCTGGACAGTTTATACCCCTACGGTGCCACAGCAAGGGTAGAAACTTTCCAGCCGCCCAGGGACAGGCGCCCCCGACAGCGAACAAGCTTATGTCATACCGTTCTTCGCCCGTTAGAGGTGGAGCCCCTGGCGGCGTCGGGGCCCCCAGAGCGGCAACCTGCGCAAGTGACCGCGCCCCGGCTCCCCGCGCGCCCGCCGTGGGGCCCTGCGGCCCGGCCGGAGCAGGCGCGCCCGGGCGGCACTGGCGCGGGGCAGGACGCCCATGCGTCCTCCATCTTCCTGCCGGGGCCCGTCTCGATGCGACCGTTGCGCTGCCGTGTCGAGCCCACGCGGCTCGATCCGGTTCGGCCTCGACTTCCTGGCGATTCCCCTGGCGATCCGGTGCGGCCCGAGGCCCGCGTGGCGCTGTCGTGCATCCTGGCGCAACCGATGCGACTCGACTTCGGCTCCATGCCGATGTGGCCCGACCCGACGCACACTCCGACTTTATCCGCTTTTTCCTGCTCTCCACCTCACCACCCCGCGAACTTCTGCACGTCCGCTTTAGTACAGCCGACGAGAAGGACAAGGCAGCGCCATCACGGCAGGTGTCTTGTGGGTTTTCTCCTATCTATGACAAATCGCAGGCCAAGGACACACCAAGGCAACATTGGTAGCTCAAATATTTCATCGCTTCGCTCATTCCGCCGGCCCACGATGAGGCACCGCGGTCGATTGGGCGGGAGGTCGTCGGCAGTGCGGAGCTGCAGGGGTCGGCGCATGTTTTTTTCTGAGGCGTTGCGTTCGGATGGTGGTGTTGAAGCTGCCCCCGCGAAACAGCTTCGCGTCGACCTTCTGAGGAGGTGTCGGGGGAATCGGTGTTTCCACGGGGCTTCTGGGTTGTGCCGCTCTGGGGTGTCCCTGGCGCCTTTGTGGGGGCTCGTTGCTCGTGGACGCTCATGCGGGGGCCATGAACACAGTGTAACTGTTGCGACAGGTATGCCCCTCGACGTGAGAGGGAAAAGAGAGAAAGAGAGAGAGAGAGAGAGAGTGGCGGCTCTTGGGGCCTCATGGGGGCCTCTTGGGGCGTCCTGGATGCCTCTTGGAGCGGAAGGCTCGGATTTTCGGCTCGTGGTCTCCATCTTGGGCTCCTCTTGGGGCCCTCTTGGGCCGTCTTGGGCGCCTTTGGGGCTGTCTTGAAACTCTCTTGGGGCTCTCTTGGGGGCCTCTTGGGCCGTCTTGGGGTGGTCTTGGGGGCTTCTTGGGGGCCTCTTGGGCCGCCTTGGAGCGTCGGAAACGCGAAAAGGAAGCAACAAACCTTCAGACACCGAATGGCAATCACTGAGTTTTGCCTCGTGGGGCTCCGTTTTGGAGCCTTTTGGGGTCTCTTTCGGGCCTCTTGGCGCCTCTTGGCGCCTCTTGGGGTCCTCTTGGGGCGTCCTGGAGGCCTCTTGAAGCGGAAGGCTCGGATTTTCGGTTCGTGGTCTCCATCTTGGGCTCCTCTTGGGGCCCTCTTGGGCGCCTTTTAGGCTGTCTTGGGGCCCTCTTGGGCGGTCTTGGGGCTCTCTTGAGGGCCTCTTGGGCCGTCTTGGGGTGGTCTTGTGGGCCTCTTGGGCCGTCTTGGAGCGTCGGAAAGGCGAAAAGGCGAGGAAGCCAACAACTTTCAAAAACCTTAGAGAATCACTGATGTTTGTATCTTGGGGCTTCGTTTTGTAGCGTTTTGGTGTTTCTTTCGGGCCTCTTGGCGCCTCTTGGGGCCTCTTGGGGGCCTCTTGGGGCGTCCTGGATACCTCTTGGAGCAGAAGGCTCGGATTCTCGGCTCGTGGTCTCCATTTTGGGCCCCTCTTGGGCCGTGTTGGGCGCCTTTTGGGCTGTTTTGAAGCTCTCTTGGGCGGTCTTGGGGCTCTCTTGGGGGCCTCTTGGGCCGTCTTGGGGTGGTCTTGGGGGCTTCTTGGGGTCCTCTTGGGCCGTCTTGCAGTGTCGGAAACGCGAAAAGGCGAGGAAGCCAAAAACCTTCAGAAACCTAATGGAAATCACTGAGTTTTGCCTCTTGGGGCTCCGTTTTGGAGCCTTTTGGGGTCTCTTTCGGGCCTCTTGGCGCCTCTTGGGGCCTCTTGGGGGCCTCTCGGGGCGTCCTGGAAGCCTCTTGGAGCGGAAGGCTCGGATTCTCGGTTCGTGGTCTCCATCTTGGGCCCCTCTTGGGGCCCTCTTGGGCGCCTTTTAGGCTGTCTGGGGGCCCTCTTGGGCGGTCTTGGGGCTCTCTTGGGGGCCTCTTGGGCCGTCTTGGGGTGGTCTTCGGGGCCTCTTGGGCCGTCTTGGAGCGTCGGAAAGGCGAAAAGGCGAGGAAGCCCAAAACCTTCACACACCTAAGACAAATCATTGATGTTTGCCTCTTGGGGCTCTCTTGGGAAGGGTCGGGGCTCTCTTGGGACGTCTTGGAGGCCTCTTGGGCCGTCTTGACGACGTGTTGGGCGTCTTGGGCCGATCGTTCGGTGATTCGGAGACCTCTTGGACCGTCTTGGGGGCCTCTTTTGGCCCTCTTGGCGCGCTCCGGGGGGCGTGGAAGGCCGCACCCAGGAGGGAAACCATCTCTGAGTAATAGTTCCCGGGCTGCGGTCGGGGTACTTTTCGCCGGGGGACCCCCAGGGGCCGCCCCGCGCGCGCGAACAAGAATTATTCTTAACCAGTTACCGGAGATCTTAGCACGCCTCTGGCCCGTTGGGCCGGCGAATTTGCAGCGACTGCATACGGTCGGGAATGTGATGATTAAACCTCATCCCGAGAAGTTGGGCTAGCGTTTGTTGATCAGCTTGCCAGAGAGCTTGCCCAGTTTCTTGAGCGCGTTCGCCCCTCCAGCGCTAACAACAGAAATTGGCCCAGGCTTGATTGAAGAAACCTCTGGCAAGCTGGCCCAGTTTTCTGAAACGGAAAGTTGTTTGATCAGATGTTCGACTTGATTCCACCTTTTCTGACACGGGTAATGTACGGCGGCGGGCCTGCTGTGCCGCCCTGGGACTTTGAGACGCGCGTCCCCCTGCAACCCCTGCCGAGAGCAGGCGGAGGGGGTAGATGAGCACGGAGTGTTTGGGGGGAGGAGCAGGAGCAGGAGGAGGAGGAGGACGACGACGACGACGAGGAGAACGAGGAGGACCAGGTGGACGAGGAGGAGGAGGACGAGGAGGAGGAGGAGGAGGAGGACGAGGCGGAGGAGGATGAGGAACAACTTGGAGGGGCGGCTTTCTAAGAAGGCGGGGTAGCTCCTAAGAAGACGCGCTGCTTCTCAGAAGCCCTCCGCCCCAGGCCCTAACACGGCCCCAGCCTTTCAACAGCCCCCCCCGCCTGCATTAGAAGGTCGCCCCCTCGCGCCACCCCCGTTGTGCCTGCTGCCAGGAGAGGGAGGAGGAACACCACGTTGCCCTCCTCGCAGGGCCCCCCAAGAAACTTCACCAATGTAGGTCCATGGAGACGCCTGCTGGCTCATACCAGGCTCTGCCTAGCTCTCACGTTCACTCCGCCTCGGCCCCTGGAACGGGCTGCGGAGAGGGGCCAGCCGAGTCCACGCCGGCTCTCTCGCCTGGTCCAGATCCGCTCCAGATCGGTCCCCGGACCGTTCCCCGGGCCCATCCTTCCGGAGCCTTGGGTCGGGGGCCCCCAAACGGGGTGGTGACCACACCGTGCGGTGAGTCGGTGGGGAAGGACGTCTCGGGCGACTGGGGCAGCCGAGGTCCCAAAACCGTGCGTTGACGGATCGTGCGGTGAGATCTTGGGGGATTTCGAGGTCACCCCACGGTCTGACACCGCACCGTTTCGGGACTCCAAATTGAAATGGGGATCGGTACAAACGGGGGTCAGCCAGAGCACCAGATCTTGCAGGATCCTGCAGAGCCAGGGTTGCATTGACCCGGGCTAGCGCGCAGGATCCTGCAGGATCTTGCAGGATCCTGAAAGGCCCGACTGACCCAGGCTTGCACTGACCCATGTCAGCAGATCCCCGAATCTTGATCAGTTGTTCGAGATTGATCCAGCCGCGGCGACGAGAAATCCCCAGGAAGCCCAGAAGGGACGAGAACCACCACGAGGGCCACCGCTGCTCGTCCGCCGTTGTGGGCGAAGGGATCTCGACTACTCCTACACCCGTGCCCTCGTGGCTACTTGCCAGATTGCCAGGGTGGCCCGTGCGAAGCCACTCAGCGGACGAAGAATACAGTCGGGGCCCTGAAGAAGGAACCCTTTTCGTTGGGGAGGGGCTCGGTGTTCCTTGTTTGTTTCAAAGTTTACCTCTGGTTTTCCTGAGGTCTTCCATGGGGAATCGAGGCTGAACTTATGGGAAAAAGGGGCCTCATTCCTTATTTAGGGTTCCTTAGGTCAACGCCCCGACTGTAGAGTATCATGGAGAAGCGGTCAGCCGTAGGGAACGCCTGCGTCTGCGGCCCTCCCGCTGCGGAGTACTCATTCTTACCATGTGTCGTGCGCTGGCTTTCGCATCCCCTCGTTCCCAACCCCCGGAAGCAGGAGCTCAGGCAGCCGGAGTTCCGGCAGCCCCCGAGCCCGAAGCATCTGGCGTTGCGCTTGTTTCGTCCGCCAGTCTTGGCGGACTTGTGTCTTATCGGCCAGCTCAGCTGACGGCCGCGGCCAGCCGACCAGGGACACCGCATAGCTCGTTCAGCTACGGTGGGGGCATTGGCTAAGGAATGTGCCCATGAGGCTGCAGACCCTGGAGGATTCCTTATCCAGTGAGGGCGGTGGTGATATCCATGGCCAAGCCTCGATTGGAGTTCCACGGGCCTCCAGACCCTGCACTCCTTATCCAAAGGGTTCCTTATCCAATGCCCCCACCCTAGCTCGTTCAGCTATGGCAGATACGGCCCTGAGGATGCAGGACCTCGCCCTTGGCTGCCCCCACATCTCGCTCGAAGCAGCAATCGGTGCGCCGTGCCCTCGTCTGCGCGCCCCGGGTAGGGCACATAGGTCTAGGGGTCTCTTTGGGGCCGTCATGGGGTCGTCTCGGGGCCCTCTGAGGCCGTCGATGGGGCCCTCTGAGGCCGTCTTTCTAGGCCTCCTAGATGGGGTCCGAGAAGATTGTGTCGGAGGATCGCGCCGCATCGCCGAAGCATCGGCGATGCGGCTCGATGCGGGGCCCGAGTTGCTTCACGTCGACGTCGCCGATGCATCGCCGACGTCGACGAAGCGTCGCCGGTGCATCGCTGATGCATCCCCGGTGCATAGCCGCTGTATCGCCGATGCATCGGCGATGCGGCGCGATCCTCCCACCCCATTCACTCCGACCCCATCTAAGAGACCTGGGTTCCTCCAGTGACCTTCTTTGGCCAGCTCGGCTTTTTTCGTTGCCGTCCCTGGCCGTCTAGACGCCATAGTGACTCTCTTGGGGCCGCCTTGGAGGATGATTACAAGGCCAGTTGGGGCTTTCTTTGCCCGTCTTGGGGCCATCTAGGAGGCCTCTAGGACGGTGGGAGCTGCAGGGGACTCGAGAAGCCGAAAACGCCAACGTTCTCGAAGAACAGCACACAATCAATGATATTGGCCTCTTCGGGCCCTGCTTTGGGTCCTCGCGTGGCTCTCTTGGGCCGCCTCGGGGGCTTCCCGGGCCGTCGTGATATCAGCTGGGGCAGCCTATTTTTATCGCGGGCCTGTTGTTCGATCTCGGCTCGAGTTGGTGGCACGTCTGCGCACGACCCTACCGTACGTCTTTCATATGTTTTTCAGGGACTGTGTTGTTTTGGCCTAGCAGGATGCTGGCCAGGGCGTCCGCTTTGTGCGCGATTGTTATCGGATCTCTTCTGCACGCCGAAGCCGCGAAGGTGGCGACGTCGGTGCAGCTTTTCAGGAAGGCCATCAAGGAACAGAAATTCATCAGGACTCGTGGGGCGGGAACATTATCCACGTCGATGGCCTTGTGGTCCGCATTTCTCGGCCGCGACCCCACGGATGCGGGGCGTCTTTTTGCGCGGCTTTCCCGCGCGGGCCGGATCCTTGGGATCACGTGTCCACGGGATCGCGCCTCGGTGCCCAGACTTCGAAGGCATGGGCATGGATATGTTCGCCGCCCCAGCAGGACTTCAGGCGCAGCTGCGCAGGAGACCTCCAAGACCGTCGGTGCTTCTGCCAAGACCGTTGGTGCGGCTGCCCTGGAGGTGGACAGCGTCCGGAGGGAGGCCACGCACAGCAGCTTTAACGCCGCGGCCAACGCGACCGCGGATGGCAGCGCGGACCGCCGCAAGAGGACCCAGCGGACCGCCCTCGAGTTCGACCTCCGCGGGTACCGCCGCAAGAGAGCCGCTGCCAAGTTCGACCTCCGAGGGCGCCGCCGCGCGGTTCACGGCACGACGGAGGCCGCCGTGTCTCACAAGACGGCCTACTTCGGCAAGGTCGCGATCGGCACCCCTCCCCAGTGGTTCGACGTCGTGTTCGACTCCGGCAGCGGCAACCTGGTGCTGCCCTCCACGGACTGCACCGGCGAGGCCTGCGTCAACCACGCCCGTTACGACCAGCAGAGATCCACGAGCGCGCGCCGCGTTTCGTGTGTTTCCAGCGAGGCCTCTCCTGCCCCCTCCTCCTCCTGCCGCCTCCTCCTCCTCCTCCTCCTCCTCCTCCTCCTCCTCCTCCTCCTCCCCCTCCCCCTCCCCCTCCCCATCCTCCTCTTCCTCCTTGTCCTCCTCCTCGTCTTCCACCTCCTCCTCCTCGTCCTCCTCCTCAGTAGCTATTTTGGCTAAAGTTTTTATGCATTTTGGGGCTCCGCGCCTCCGAGCCAAAACGGGATCGCCCTGTTCCCCGAGCTAGCTTTCATCGATTCGCCTGGTCCGCCCCAGTGCCGCGCGGTCAGCCCCGTGCGGCACAGCGTGAGGTGAGCTCCTGCAGGAGCATCGGCGATCACGAGGCCGCTAAAGGTGGCCCTCATGTGCGCGAGCAGCCTCGTCACCTCAGCAGGATGGCGCCGCCCAAGCAGCAGTCTGGGCAGCGGGCGGCGTGGTCGCAGCAATGGCACTGTCGCTTCAGCTGGGCCCTGTCAGGTGCGCGCTGGTGGAGCCATGCCGAGCTGGTGTCCTGCAAGAACAGTGCCAGCGGTCCAAGGGGCAGTGCTTCCACTCCAACCGTGTGCCCAACGTGCCGTCGGTGTCCTCGAAGGACACGACGGCAGCGGCCGAGCTGCGCAGGCTCCAGTCGGAACTCAAGCTTGCGCAGTCGGAGGTCATCAAGCTCAAGGCCGCTGGCAAGATCGCTGCGGCCGCGCCAGACCCGTTCGGCATGGACGCGGCCTTGCTGCAGCTTGAGGCCGAGGTCGAGTCGGATCTGGCCAAGGAAGGAGCTGCGAGGCCTTCTCGGCAAGGCCGAGGGCGTCAGCGATTGCGCCGGAAGTGCGCTGAGGAGCTCGAGCAGCTGCGCGTCGAGCGGATGGGCGCACGTCCGCTTCCTGTCCAGATGCAGCACCTGCCGCAGCAGATCAAGGGGCTGGAGCACAAGGCAGAAACCAAGCGCGCGGGCGTGGTCAAGCGCCTTGGCCAGGTGCGCGAGCTCCAATCGCAGCGTGACGAGGCGGCGACGGAGCTTGGCTCCATCCGGCGTGAAATCACTGCGCCGGAGGCGCAGCGGACCGAGGCAGCGGTGCAACTCCCGCAGCCGACGACCGTCATCGAGGGCGTCAAGGTCTCACTCGTTCGACTCCGTGAAGCCCGGCGTCCAGTCCAGGTGCTGGCTTACCTTCGGCGCGGATGAGGACCTCCACCGCGCGGTGGGCCGCGTCCGTGCGGCGGCCGTCAAGGCGAATGCCGAGCGGCAGGCAGAGCTTGAGCGCCAGCAGGCAGAGGCCGCCAGAGGCTCGGGTCCCCCTGCGGACGGCGCGACTCCAGGCACGCCTGCCCCCCGAGCCAGGCGGCGTGCAGCGGCCTGCTGGGCCTTGGGCTTTCCGCCTCCCCACTGCTGCTTGGGTGGGTGCTGACGCGCCAGAGGTGCTCCAGGCCCTCCTGCAGGCCATGGGGCAAGCCGTGCCTGTCGAGGAGTCTGAGTTCCGCGACGCGGCCGAGCGCTTCGCCCATGGGCTCGAGAGCTTCGCCAAGCGCCAGCGGTTGGAGGCGCTCGTTGCCGCCGCAGTGGCTTATATCTGTCCAGTATGATGTCATGATGATGTCTCGGCCATCGACCCCACGGGCGGCCAGCGCGTGCAGTCCCAACATGCGGCCCCCGCGGGCCCTGGGCGGGAAGCCTCTGCAGGCCGCGCAAGGTCACCGGCCCGCGCAGCCGCTGGTGACCTATTGGCGTCTTCAGCAGGCTGCCCAAGGTCACTGGCACGCGCGGCCTTCGGTGACTTGCCGGCGCCCTCTGCAGGCAGCGCAAGGTCACCGGCCCGCGCAGCCGCCGGAGACCTGCTGGCGTCCTCAGCAGGGCGCCCAAGGCCACTGGCCCACATCACCACTGGTGACCTGCTGGCGCCCTCGGGAGGCCGCGCAAGGTCACCAGCCCGTGCAGCCGCCGGTGAGTTGCCGGCGTCCTCGACAGGCTGCCCAAGGTCGACCACCGGCCCGCGCGGCCTTCGGTGACCTGCTGTCGCCTTCTGCAGGCCGCGCAAGGTCACCGGCCCGCGCAGCCGCCAGTGACCTTCCGGCGTCCTTATGATGCGAGGCTGGCTTCAGCGTCACCGCCGCCGACGGCGAAGTTGCTGGGCGCGCGGCTGGGCGCTATCTGGAGGCCGCCTGGTGACGATGTCCAAGTAGCGGTCAAAGGGTTCGTGGCCACCACCAACGCGTCGTCGCACGTGGCCTTGGAGCAGCTGCTGGCCAGCTCGTTCGCTGCCCAGGTCGTCCTCGTCCAGGAGCACCGCGCGGGCAGCGGCAAGGTCGCCAGTCCCCAGCAGCGGGTTCGAGGCCTGGGCTACCACGGCGTCTGGGACACGGCCACCCCCTCCCCCGAGGGGGCACGCGTGGAGGCTGCGCGGTCCTCGCCCCTGCGGCCGTTCAGGCGAGCGCGCCGCTTATGCATCCTACGGGGTGCCTGGTGCCAGGCAGGGCCACTGCAGGCCTGGGGCACTGGGGCGTGGCGGGCGGCATCGCCTTTGCGTCCGTGTACCTGACTCTGTCGGGCTCGACGTCTCCAATCTGGAGATATTGAGGGTCGTGGACCGCCACGTGCTGGAGGTCGCCAGCCGTGGCAACTGCTGGGTTGTGGGTGGGGACTTCAACATGTCTCTCGAGCTGCTGGCCCCGCGGTTCCACTCGGTGGGCGCTGTGCTGCTCAGCTTGGCGGCTTCGACATGCAGGCAGAAGCTGCCGTGCACCCGGCTCGACTACTTCGGGGTGGACCACCGCATCCTGCGCCGCGCCCCGCTGCCCGAGGCGGCGGAGTGGCTGTCGCGTACCCGCGCAAGCCTGTGTTATTGCCGCTCCTGGTCCATGATAGGCCGCTGTGGTGCAGGGCGCCGTGGGGGCCGAAGGCCTTCGCGGCGTTGGATGCAGCCGACCCCTGGCGGGGGTCTGGTCCGCGGTCCAGGAAGCGACCGGGCGCGCTTCCTGTGAAGGCGAGCTGGCTTGGTGCTGGGACGATGTGCTGTTGGGCGTCGAGCAGGAGCTGCGCGAGCGCTTCGACCTGGTTGGCGAGGCCTGCGCTGGCCAAGGTGGGCGCGCGGGGCCGCTGCGAACGCGCGCGCAGAAGTTTGCCTGGCAGCCGCCGCGACGCCGCCCTCCTGAGAGGGGCGCGGCCACGGATGCGCGGGCCACGGCGGCGGGCTGGGCCAGGCACCCGCGAAGGGTCAGCGAGAGCCGCAGCTCCAGGATCCCTCAGCTGATGGATGCGCGTGCTGCGGGAGGCACGCGGCGGAGACCTCCGAAATCGGGGTCCTGTACCGCGATAGTGAGGCCTCCATCAGGTGGGTGCTCAAGCAGAAGTGGGTCTTCGCGGAGGTCAGCGCCTGCGCCCTGCCTTTTCCAGCAGGGGCTGCTGGTTTTCGCGAGCGCCTACTTTCACGACATGGTGGAATGGCTCACCTACCGGGGCGAGGGCAAGATGGCCGACTTTGCGGCGGTGCGCGCCACGGCGCGGACGACGCGGATCGAGGCGAGCTTCGTGCAGGGCGCGTCCAAGGCCCACCGTTTCTCCGAGGTGCAGGCGCTGCAGCTTGCGGAGACAGAGGCCGCGGGTGTCCAGCCTCATGAGCGCGCCGATGGCTGCCTCGACTTCTGGTCCAACATCTTGGCCACCCATGGCTGCGCGCGTCTGGAGCTACCGCCTGAAGCTGCTAGCTGGCCGCTGCTGCTGCTGTTCGGAGATTCTGCTCTCGGACAGCGGTTGGCCCAGGTCGTCTTGCGCCGCGCAGCCCCTGGCATCTCAGCGACGAGGCTCTGCAGGCCGTCGCCGTCCTGTTCTTGCAGCGCGAAAAACGTGGAATGCGGCCGAGCGACCCCGCGGCCACCGAGTCAGTTCGTCCCCCAAGGCCTGACGAACCAGGCGAGCACAAGCTGATCGCTTTCATTTTTTCTCTGATTAGGGTGCGGGGAGGGTTCGGAGGCCTGTCTCGGTGAAGCGGGCGAAGGAACATCGTGGCGAGCTCCTGTGGGGCTCGGGCCTTGGGCGCCCCAGTCTCCACTGCCCTTTCGCTCGCAATTTGGAGGCCGATGCGGCTCGTGGCATAGGCGAACACTGTGTGACGGTGAGATGTTACAAATTTGTGTTGTTGTCTGCTGTGATGTCCGAGGCTGCTGCCATGGGATATCCCCCTTCGGTCAGCTTGGATGTTGGTGCGTAACTAATGGCAGCCTCGGCGCATCCGCGGGTTTGGCTCGCTCGGCCGCTCTTGCAGATCCTAGCAGGGGATTATCGCGGGGTGCTTGCCATGCCACATCTCCTATGCAGGTCCTGTTGCTTAGGCCCCATCCAGAGACTCAAACTGGAGTTCGATGTTGTCGTGCCCCGAGGCCTCATGCACGACGATTCGTTCAAGTGGATTGGGGTGTTAGTCAAGTGCGCATTGTTTATGTGTTGTGGCGGCTTTCGCCAGGTACACCCGGCCGCCCGGCGTCTTGCTCCAGGTTTCGAAGTTTGGGGCACCTTGCGTCGGCGACCGAGGCGGCCAGGGCCGCCGAAGCCCGAGCGCACGGGCTCGGGCGGCATCCGTTGCGGTCGGCCGGGCGCCTCGGTTAGATGCTTGTGGTGGCGGCATCCCACGCGGAGCCCTCGAACGGAAAAGCTTGGGTGCTGTTTTTGTCAGGAGGGGAAAAACACACCGACACAATTAACCCTCGATTCCCCAGAAAATATGGGAAACTATGGGGAGTGAGGGGGAAGACAAAAGGCCAGAAAATATGCGGAACTATGGGGATCCCTATTATTTGTGTCTATGTACTTGTGTGTCCGAGGGCCCCTTCATTTTGAGCGACGTGGGCGGCTTCGTGCCCTCAGGAGGGCTGGGGGGCTCAAAGTGAGGACTCTGTGGCGCACGGGTGTGATGCCGTCTGGTAGTCATGGAGCTGGGGTGGTAGGCCTCACGGGCTCCATTCTCATGAAGTTGAGATATTTTGCAGGGGAGCTGGTAGGAGCTAGGCGTGGTATCGCGCCGCTCACAACCTACACTTACAGGCCGAAAAACAGGTTTTACGATTCCACCTTCGACGCTACCTGTCCTCTTGTTGTCAGATATGCGTATGCGTGCTGGCTGTGAGACGGCTGGACCTCCGCCTCTCGCCTCAGGACTGCGGTGGTGGCCATCCGCGATCGGTTGGGCCAGCAGGGGTCTTGGAGGCCGCGCTTCGGTCCCATCTCAGCTGTGCTTCTCACGCTTCGCCGTATTGGCCGGGAGCCAGAGGCCCTTCACCTCTCCCTCTCGGACCGCGGCGAACACGCTTCTCTGGCGGAGCGAGGGTCGAGCGCTGGCTCTGGCGCAGGGCTCCCCTTCCACTGGCCAGAGGCGCCCGGATCCGAGCTCTTTGTTGGGGGGGGGGGGCTCGAGCCGTGCGCCTTGTCCCTCCTGGCTCTCCCCAGCAGGTGCCCGTGATGGGTCGGAGGGCACCAACTATACACCAACACCGATCCTGGCCCAGGATCACCCTGGGCCCAGGATCGGTGTATATGCTTTCTTGCGCAAGGCAGGAGGGCGTATACACCAATCCTGGGCCCAGGGTGATCCTGGCCAGGATCGGTGTTGGTGTATAGTTGGTGCCTTCCTAATGGGGTTCGGTGCGCGCGCCCCCCCCGTGGTCCGGAGGGCGGTGGGGGCCGCCCCCGCTCGCAGAGGTTCGGCGCGGGCCCTGCCCCCGTCCGCTGGGTGCACCTTCCTGTGGGGCGGCGCGCGGGCCCCTTGTGGCCACCAGCTGTTCGGTGTCGCCGGTGCCTCCACGCTGCTCGCGTCTGATTCTTCGGAGGTTCTTTGATTTTTTTTTGCCGAGGGTGGACAGAACCCTCAGCAGTGACACGTCGATTAGTGGATTGTCCGTTTTCGGTTCTCGAGAGGGCGCCGCGGCCGTTATTTTCCAGGCTTGCGCCCGCCAGGTTTGGGCCTCAGGTCGTTTTCACTAAACCACGTTTTACTAAAGCGGGGTCTGTCCATCCCCGATTTTGGGGGGGGCAAGATCCTGTTATTTCTAAGTCTCCTGTCCTGGGCCTCTTCCTGGCCACTAGGGGGGCCAGGGACAACTGGAAGCGAGCACAAATCGGATTGAGCAGGATTAGACATGAACGACGTGTACGCCTCGGGCGAGGATTCGGGAGATGGCATGGGCTTCCTGGAGGACGTTTGGCAGCACAGGGTGGCCTTGCAGGAGGACCCTCAGGTCGGCCGAGCGGGATGTCGAGTCGTCGTTCTACGGGGTTCCCTCCCTCCCTCTCCAGTTGCCTCCTCTCCCGGCTCGGCCGCCCTGTGCCCACCTGGGGTCCCGCGGAAGGTCCCCGGGGCAGGTCCAGGTTCACGGACGGGGTTGGGCACCACAGCTCGGTGCCCGAGGCCACTAGATGTGGCGGGAGCGCCGTCGAGATCTCTGGTGATGGGTGGACCTTGAGGGCTAGCTGTTGGCGGGCTCCGAGGGAGTTTCCAAGCCGTCCCCGGGAGCGAGAGGTGGGCGGGGCTGGCTGCCGTCGCCCCCCAGACCCTCGGGAGGCCTGCGAGCGGTCCCGAGCGGTCATCTGTCGTTCGTTGATGAAGGGCGAGGCGGGGACCCCAACCTTCGGTGTGGTACCTCAGCCCCACGCGTCGATTTGGCGCAAGATCTTCCGTGTTTGCTCCCAGCATGTTTTGCGCCCAGAGTCCCGCTGGATTCCTGCGCATGTGTCGCTTCAGGGGTCTATTGATCGGGATGCGCGCGCTGGTGACATACGGCGCCTCATGGGTGATGCTTGGGCTGGTTGCTTTGCCAAGCTCGGAGCACTGCTGTTGCTGATGTGGCGGTTGCGTCGCTCCAGGCCGCCATTGGCGATTGTGTGTTGTCATGCCAGGTCCTCCCACGAGCGGCTCAGATCATCTGAGCTCGTCCTGAGGTCTCCCAGGCTCCTGCTGCTCCGGTGCCTGCTCGGGCCCCTGGGCCCCGTGCGCCCCAGCTGGTGGCTGTGGCTCACGACGCTGTTTGGCCCACTCCTGGGTCCTCGGCTGTCCAGTGCGGACCCAGTGCAGACGCTGTTTGGCCGTTGCTCGGACCCCAGCCAGCTGCAAGCCGCTGTTGAAATCAGGGGCGCGGTGCGAGCCTGGCCCGATGCTGCGCCAGCTAGCGGCTGCTATCGAGCGGTCAGGCTGACGGCAGCATGTCGCAGGGGAGGGGCAGGCTGCCCTTTCCGCTTCTGCTGCCGACATGGAGGCGGAGGCGGGAGGACATTTGTTCGAGTGCGACGGGCACAGGATCCACCGTGCAGGGCCTTGCCTGTACTGTAGCCTCTGTGGGGGCCGAGTAGCCCTGGGGTCTCCCAAGCTGGATGCCCTCGGAGCCCCGTGTCCGTCTGCTCCCCCGAACCCAGCCCGTCGGCGAGCCAGTGACTGGAGTGACTGGCTTGCAGAGGGCAGACATCGAGCGTCAGGCGTTCCCTCCTGACCTGTGATGCGGGGGGATGTCTGTCGGGTGCCGCCCACATCGCCCGAGCTGGATTGGTGCCGTCAAAATATCGATGGCCCTCCTCCGCTCTGTACCGTTTGGCTGCCCAGTCAGCCTGGAGTGCTGGCGATTTATCACGCTCCCCCTTTTCAATGTATCAAGTCTCCGCCGCGTTCTCGGATGCTTCGTCGTTCCATGCTGCGTTCTGCATTCTACGACCTCCTCCTCCTCCTCTTCATCATCATCATCATCATCATCATCATCAGCATCAGCATCAGCATCAGCATCAGCATCATCATCATCATCATCATCATCATCATCATCATCATCATCGTCATCATCATCATCCCTCTCTTTCGAGAAGCACCCAAAACTCGCTAACACCCTCCAGAACACGTGTTCCCCCTCCTGGTTGCTGGTCCTGCCCCCCACCCAGAGACGTCCGGAACCTCCGAGCAGACCCCCAAGAGCTCGCTCGGCGAGGGCCCCAGCAGTGTGCGGTGTGCACGTCGTGCAGGAGGGCCCTCTTCTGACGCACAGTTCCGCTCGAGCAGAACATAGGAGTGGAGTTCGTCGTGGGCTTTGTGGGCCCCGGAAACGGCAGGGCCGTTTTTCACCGTTTCCACCAAAATGTCCTTTGACAACGGAAAGGGCAAAAACAAGGCGACCGGAAACGGCAAAAAAACGGCTCCAGGATTGGAACCGGAGCTGGAACCGGTCGAAAAACGGCGACGGAACTGGTAAAAAAACTGCGTCGGAACCGGCAAAAAACGGCAAAACGGAACCGGTAAAAACGGCCCTGTCGTTTCCAGGGCCCACTAAGGTCGTGGGAATCCCATGGTCCATGGTGACACGATCCATGCGAGGGGCGTGCCGAACTGGGCGGGGCAGGGCCACGCGAGTCCTGGGCCACAGTTGGAGCTCCCTGCGGGGCACGATGCGTGCGAGGGGTGTGCCGAGATGGGCAGGGCAGTGCTATTCGAGCTGCTCCACTGGGGTCACCACTGGATGCACGAGGCACGGTCTGAGGGAAGGCTGCGCCCGATTTGCGCAACGCCATGCGGGTCCCTTCCTTGGGGCCACAGCTTGAGCTTCGCAGCGGGCATGAGCCTCGCGAAGGCGTGTGCTGGATCCGTGGGGCCACGCCGAAGGCGAATTCCTCGGCCAGGGCCGCACGTAGGGCTCCAATGCGGCACGACCTGCGTGACGGGTGTGCCGAAAAAGGCGGGGATCCGCCCACTTCGGCACACCCCTGACACAGTGGCGCCAGAAATGGGGCTCCGGAGATGGCACGATTCGGACGAGGAGTGTGCCATAGAGGGCGCGTGGAGGGAGGCGGGAGAGAGCAGGATGGAGGAAGGAAACGTGCGGCGCAGCAGGGGGAAAACGAAGACCCAACAGCACGGCGCGTCTGTGTTGGAAGGGAAGGAGGAGAGGGTCCTTCCCCGCCTTCTCTTTCCCCTCCTCTTTCTCCCTCTTCCTTCTCCCCCTTCCCTCTCCTCTTCCCATCTCGTCGTCCCCCATATGCCCTATCCCCATCATCCCTCTTGATGGCGGCGTCGTGCAACTTCGCAGGCTCCGTTGCTCCCGAAAAGCACGCCAGACACGTCGCCGGACAGTTTGAGCATCACGTTCGGCACCGGGGAGATCTGGGGCAGATGCATCGAGGAGCAGGTGGCCTGGTCGGGAAGAGGATTGGGGTAGGAGGCGAGTGGGCGGTCGGAGGATGATGCTGCATCGTCGATGCATCGGTGATGCGGCTCGATGTGGATCCCGATCTTTTCCACGCTGACGGCGCTGATGCAGCATCGCCGACGTCGCCGATGCTTCGGCGATGCAGCACTTCTTTCTGGCCCTTTCTACTGGTATCCTATTTGGGAGGCGCCTGGTCATTACGGTGGTTTTGTGTGATGTCGACGCGGCGGCGATCCCAGAGCGGGCTTTCAAGGTTGAACTCCGCTGGTGGCACGGAATCCGCCGATGTCTACCGGCCTGCGCTGTCGGGAAGCCTCGCTCGCTCAGTGTTGAACGAGCCGCGCGGTGTCGTAAGCCAACGCCGAAGTCGTCAGGACACGAGCCGGTTGTGAGGGGCAGCAGTCCGCCTCCTCTCGCTTTGTCTGGGCCTTCGGGGAGGCCCTCGTCGCCGAGAGTGGACGCGCCTCAGAGAACGAGCCGAGACGGCGCCCAGGATAGATCTGGGCAGCCAGTGTCGAGAAGAAGGGGAGTCGAGGAGGAAAGGGCATGAGGAGTAGGGGCGACGGCTCTTTCCCTCCATATTTCTCAATTTGTGCTTGCACTGACGGGTTCTCAGCTGTTGTCGAAGGGACTTGACCTGCGTGCTGGTCCGGCGGCCATGTAGCTGCAGTCGCCGCCCAGTCGCCGCCACGTCGCCGTTCGTCGCCGCCGTTAGATTGCATCCCATAGATTGCTTTGCGCTGCTTTGCATTGCTTTGATTTTGCATTGCGTTGCATGGCGTTGTAACGCTTTTCGTTGCTTTGCGTTGCTTTTTATTGTTTGCGTTGTTTTGCCTTGCTTAGCCTTGTCGTGCATTGATTTGCAGTGCATTGCTTTGTATTGCATTGCTTTCCGTTGCCTCGTGTTGGTTTGCATTGGTTTGCGTTACCTTGCATTGTTTTGCATGTGTGGCGCTTTGCTTTGCTTGGCATTTCGTTGAATTGACTTGTTTTGCGTTGCATTGATTCGCATTGTTTTGCAGCGCATAGCTCTGCAACTTTCGCATTGCAATGGTTTACGCTGCGTTGCATGATTTGCACTGCATTGCATTGCTTTCATGTGCCTTGCTTTGCTGCGCATTGCAGTTCGTTGTTTTGCAGTGTGTTGCTTTGTCTTTACAGAGCGTTGCGTTGCTTTACATTGTTTTCCATTGCTTTGTGTTGCTTTGCATTGCTGCGCATTGCTTTGCATTGGCTGCGTTGCTCTGCACTGCTTTACATTGCCTTGCATTGCTTTGTCTTGTTTTGCATTGCTTCGCTTTGCATTGCTTTTCAACGGTTTGCATTGCTTCGCACTGCGTTGCTTTGTACTCTAAGGAATTGGGCCTGACCTTCGATTTGGCGGCTATGTTGTCGCCCCCCCGTCGCCGCCTCGCCGCCGTCCGTTGTCTTAGCCTGACCGTCGGTCTGGTGGCTATGTTGTCGCCGTCGCCGCCCAGTCACCGCCTCGTCGCCGCCCATCGTCTGTGCCTGACCGTCGGTCTGGCAGCTATGCTGTCGCCGTCGCCGCAGGTTCTTTCGCCGGCGCCGCGCCCCCCCCATTCCAAGTCAATCGATTGCAACCCAATCGATTGTAATCCAATCGTTCGATTGCAATCCAATCCGTTGCAGTCCAGCGCAGTGCAGTCCAATCGATTCCAATCGATTGCAATCGATTGCAACGATACTTTGCAACATATACTGCGCAAAGTTGATTGCACCACTCCGATTGCAACACATAGTTCGCTTCACATATACTGCACGACATAGATTGCTAGACACACACACACACAAACACACACACACACACGCACACGCTGTGCGGGTCCACGCTGGCTAACATTCTCAGTATTGGGTCATTGTCATTTGTGTCACGCCTCCGCCTCCTCACAGCACGTCCTCACTCTCCCTTCCCCCTCCTTTCTATGTTCATGTGCACTCGCCTTCAGACCCACTCACAATCGGCACTCATTCTCAAACTACTCACACTAAGGCTGACGCGCACTCAGATTCACCCACACGCTAATTTCCAGACCATTCACAATCATCATCAGAATCACTCACGGCCATCGGTGAACGAACGAAGTTAGCCGTCGTGTGCCAGGAGGAACCAGCGAGAGTGGAAACCCCGCGCTCGGCCGCAGCTGCCGCGTCTAGGTGGCCCTTGACTCACCGCGCGACGGCGAAGCTCGTCTGGCAAGAAGGTTCCAGAGGAACTCACAGCTCTGCGTGCGGCCAGTCGCGCGGCGAGGCGCCGTCGCGGGCAACTGCCAGTCGCACACGCCCGGCCGAAGGCTGAACCACTCGTGCTCATGCTCGCTTTGGCGAAGACCCCCTCGAACCCAAACTAGCTCACACTCGGACTCACTCCTGAGCACGCACGCGTACCCAGACGCACTCACACCCATGCGATCTATACATTCGCTCTTACTCCGACGCACTCGCACACATACGCATTCCTGACCAGCCCAGCTCAAGTATAGACCCACTTGTACTCATCACGTCGTCATTGTTTTTCGCTCATACTCAGGCCCATTCGCAGTCAAGCTCACAAATACCCAGCCACTCGTTCGCACGCTTACGCACCGTCAAATGCATTCACACCCAGACTCGCTTGCAGACAGAACCCTATCATATCCTGTTAGTCGTGCGCAGCGCCTTATTTTCTCATCCGATGCACACAGACGCAGTCATGCTCGAAAACATAACTACGCCGTCCTACATCATTGATAACGATTCGTGTCCAGACCCGCTGGTAACAATAAGATCCCATCTCCACAACCGCTTGTACTTTGGCGTCCATATTCTGACTGACTCACACTGAGGCCCACCCATGCCCAGCCACTGAGTCACAGTCTCGCTGACACCCTCACCCTCTCGGATTTAGACTCAAGCTCACGGTTTCTCACTGTTCTTGGTCGCTCTCACTCTGCCACCCGCGCTTACACTCAATCGCTCCCGGATGGACTCTTACTTTTTTACTCCTTTATTGTGCATTGCGCTTCTGTCCAGTTCCCCTCAAAACCTACCTCCTCATACTAGGTCGCCCGTATTCAGGCAAGCGCACATCCATACATTCCCATACGCAGTCGCATAACTCGGGGTTAACCCGTACCCATGCCCATTTGTATTCAGGCTCATTCACATCCCGGCCCGTTTTACAGTTTGACTGGCATGGACACCTTTCATGTTCTGCCACGCGCGCTCATGCCCAGACCCGCTCAAACGCAGCCGCTCACATTCAGAATCCTTCACACTCATATCAAACGGTACCGGAACTCATATCCTACCCATGCACAAACCCAGGGCGACGCACGGGCAGTCCCAATGCACCCGCGCTTGTACTCTGTAGTTCCCAGACACATCTGTGCTCGCAACCAGTCGTTTCCAGACCTAGTCACACGCATCTCAGAATATCCAAGTGGCCCTTATGCAATCATACTGAGTCCGACTCGAAGTGGTGTTCACTCATACCAGACCATCCATACCCCTCTCACCCACATCTTTTCACGCATGTTGCGTCCAAGTCGCATTCTTTATGTGTCGAATTAGCCACTCGTATTCAGGCGCACGCGCACTCAAGTTCAATCTGGCCGATCCCACTAACGCGCAGTCCCGCTCCAGTACGTATTTGCTCAGACTCAGCCGCTGACAATGCCCACCTATTTCTGGCCACGCATACCAGGGCCGCTCATGTTTCTACACAACAGCGCTTACCCCCATATTCAATCGGTCATTACCTCACTCAGTCACATTCAGACTCACGCGCACCCAAGCTCGTTTTAAACCCGGCATTCTCCTATTCAGCAACTTGTGCTCTGGCAATGTTACGCGTTCACGTGTTCACCCGCGCCAGTTGAGGAGCATTTCCGCTCATACTCTCCTGTCGCAGTTCCGCTCATGCACAGGCCTACCCACACAGATATCTAGCTGTTTCCAAGTCCGCTGTTACCCTTGCCCAGTCGAACTCAGCCACTCCAGCAGCGTCGATCACATTCTGGCCCACTCACGCCTGGCTCTCAAACGTAATCAGCAGTTTAATCGAGTGGCTCGCGCCATTCCGCCGACCCCTACAGGGAGTGAGTGTTTGAGACGATCGTGGAAGTTACATCTTGGGTCAGGAGCCTTCTGGATGAGTATGAGGGTCTCTGGGGATGCCTCTCCGGGGCCTCCTGGAGAACTCTTGGGGGCGTGTCTTGGGCATTTTGAGGCCCCGTGGGGGCCTCCTGGGGGCTTCTTGGGGGCGTCTTGGAGGCCTCTCAGGGGCCTCTCGGTGGGCCCTCGGGGGCCTCTGGGGGGCCTTGATGGGCCATCTCGGTGGGAAAGGGCCGAACTGTCAATACGTATACCCACCGAAGCTTTCTTAGAGCCCTCCTGGGGCCCTCTAGGGGCTGTCTTGGACCGTCCTGTAGGGCCTCGCGGGCTGTCTTTGGGCCCTCTTGGGCCGTCTTGGGGCCTTCTTGCAGGCACCGTGGGCCGTCTTGGGACGATCTTGGGGGCCCGTTGGGCTGTCGTGTTCGCCGTCCAGACGTAAAATGCAATTGCGCTGAACATGTACGCATTTCCGCGGGAATGGGATGATTTTGGCCTCTTGGGGCCCTCTCGGCGATCCTCTGGAGGCGCTTTTGGGCTTTCCTGGGGGCCTCGAGGGCCATCTTGGATCGTCGTGGGGCTACCCTGGACCGTCATGACGCTCTCTTCGACTGTCTTGGCGCTCTGTCTGGGCCCTTTTGGGCTGTCTTGGGTCTTTTTGGGGGCTCCGGAGGCCCCGGGGGTGCGTTGGCGAGCTCGGGCCCCCCACCCCCCTCTCTCCCCTCGAGTCGGATGCTGGACCCTGGGGGGGGGGAAAGGGGGAGGGGTACAGCCAACTGTCTCACTCGCCTTTTCACCCCGGGCAAGCGGGGGTCGGCGGATACGGGTAAACATATTTGGGCTTACGCATACAAAAGGCGCACCCATTCTCAGGGCCACTCACGTTCATTCACACTCGGCCGTTCAAATCCAGATGCAGTCATACTCAGACCCAGTCTTTCTCATTACCACGTGAGACCAGGCTCACCTAGAGCCAGTCCGAATCTCACACTCGTTCGGTCATGTCATAGTCGCTCATACTGTGACTCGCTTCCGGCCAGATTCCCCCATAATCAATCACGAACATTGAAGCAACATTACAACGATGCCCAGACTCAGTCGCACTCAGACCCTCTCCTTTGCCCTCTCCGATCTACCCGCGCATGCGTATGCGTTGTCACGCTCTGCAACTGTTAAGGAATCCGATCGACAAAGATGAGAGCATTGTGGGAGCCTCGGTCCGAACAGGCGTGTGTGTATGGCCTGATTGGCGTCCGCACGGCGTTCTCTTGCGCTGGCGGACGACGTGTCTCGTTGGGGTGGGAACTCTGGAATGGGGACCAGGGTTGAGGGGAGGAGGAGTGAGGTGGGAGGAGGAGGAGGAGGAGGAGGCGAGGGGGAAGACGAGGAGGAGGAGGAGGAGGAGGAGGAGGAGGAGGAGGAGGAGGGGAAGGAAGAGTGAGGTGGGAGGGTTCTGATCAGTCATCCCGGCCTTGCCAATCAGACAAGGTGACGGGCGCGGTTGCCTCGATTCTGGCCGAGGGGGCTCTCGCGCGTGGGTCCGACTCGAGAGACCCACGGTCCACCCGAGAGGGGCGAGGATGCAAGATGACGATGAGGAGGAGGAGGAGAGAGGCGGAGCTAAGAGGAATGAGGAGTTGTTGTTGCTTGTGGTGCGGAGGGGGATCCTGGAGATTCGTGATGGGGCTCTTGGAAGCGAGGGGGTCCAGTAGATAGATGTTGAGCTGGGAGGGGGAGGGGGAGGGGAGGAGGAGGGAGACGGAAGAGAACAAAGAAATAACGAATGCAACAGGTTTGTCTTGGCAGCGTCTGCTACCCTGGCTCCTTCATTGCCGCAAGCAATGAGACCAGTATTCCGTTCACAGGCTTCGAATTTGACGGTGTGTTGGGGCTGTCTCTGCCTGAGATGTCGCACTCGCCCGCGTTCAACATGATGGAAAGGCTAAAAGTGACTGAGGCGCTCCATCAGACTATATTCTCTGTTTTCTTGTCTGCCTCCGATTCGGAAGTATCCGAAGTCACCTTCGGCAGCATCAACACTGAGCTCATGGCGTCAGACCTCCATTGGGTGCCCATCTCGCGCAGCTCGGGTTATTGGGAAGTGAAAATCACGGACATCACCATAGACAACCATCCGCAGGAGTTGTGCCAAGACTGCTACGTTGCCGTGGATACGGGGACGTCGGAGCTGGCAGGGCCGTCCGGCGTCATCGAGCGGTTGGCCGACAGGTTGGACGTCAGGATCGACTGCTCGAATTTCGACAGTCTGCCGAGGGTGGGATTCCTTGTCAACGACCACATCCTGAACCTCGAGCCCAGGGAGTACGTCGGTCAGACCGCGGACGGCTGCGAAGTCTCCCTGATGCCCATCGACGTGCCTCCGCCGCGGGGTCCGCTCTTCGTCTTCGGGATCCCCTTCATGGAGAAGTTCTACACGGTCTACGACAACGTGAACCGGCAGGTCGGCTTCGCTGTGGCCAAGCACGCGGGCGATGGCCCCAAGCACGCGGCCCTCAGCATGACGCAGCTGGGCGCCGCGGTGACGGCGAATTCGAGCTCGAGCAGGTGGAGCCCCTGGCGGCACCGCGGCCACAGCGGCGGGAACCTCCGCAAGTGAGTGCCCCGCCTGCGTCGGCCACCGCATCGGCACCGAGGCAGGGCGAACGTCCAGCGTTCCTTCTCCTCCTCCTCCTCCTTCTCCCCCTCCTCCTCCTGCTCCTCCTCCTCCTGCTCCTCCTGCTCCTCCTCCTCCTCCTCCTCCTCCTCCTCCTCCTCCTCCTCCTCCTCCTCCTCCCCCTCCTCCCCCTCCTCCTCCTTCTCCTCCTCCTCCACCTCCTCTTCCTCCTCCTCCTCCTCCTCCTCCTCCTCCTCCTCCCCCTGGCTTTCGTCGATTTCCTCCCGCCCCTGTAGAGCTCCCGTACCCCTAGTCCCGCGCCTGTGGGGAATATCAGCCAGCGCGAAGCGGAAGATACCGCCATTTCGGAAAGGTACGCCAGGGGTTGCACCATACCTGGCTGCTTGCACCGCATAGCTTGTATCACATACTTTGCGTGTGCAACATGGATTGCAACACGCAGCCTGTACGACGTAGCTTGCACCACAAAGTTGATACCACACATCTTGCGCCTCATGGCATGCACCACGGATGTTGCGCCACGTAGCTTGCCCCACACAGCTCACACATCCAGCGTGAGATACCTCATTGTTCTGGGCCCACGCAGGGAAGCTATACAGTCGGCCCGGATTAGTAGGTCGATCTTGCCAAATCAAGGGTGCCCTTAGGTACCCTTGTGTCCTGTGCCTCGCGACCCATGCCTCCTACATCCCCCACGGCAATGTGGCTCTCAGAAGGGTCTTTTGTCCTCTCGCGTGTCCTCTCCAATCAAGTCCGACTGTATCCCAGCTTCTCACCCTCCACGTTGACACAGTCTTCCATCCCCTGGCGATATCGGGCGTGACCGGGAGGGAGGGGGAGGGGGCTGGTCACGCCATGCTTTTGCGCCGGCGCCGTCCAGGAACGTTTAGGCATGGTTAAATCCCACACGGCGCTGGCGCGAATCGTGATACTACAGTCGGGCCGTTGAAGAAGGAACTCGCTTCGTTGGGGAGGCGTTCGGTTTTCCTTAATTGGTTTGCAGTTGTTCTTAGCTTTTGTACTGGAAATCGAAGTTTCACTTCAGGAGAAAAGGGGCCTCGTTCCGTATTTGGGGGTCCTTCTGACAGCGCTTTGGTTGTACCAGGGGAGGGGAGACAGTCGAAGGGAAATTTGTTGCAACAAGAACGCCCGAACTAATAACCACATTCCCCTTCAAGCCCCCATCCTTGACATTGGCAGGTCTTGCGTTCGAGGTGTTGGGCTCAAGAGTTGTCCAGGCCGTTTTTCTGGGAACGCTTGTTCCATATCGAAGGCCGGGGGACGGAGGGGAGTGGTCATTGGCTGTTGTTGCAGAGTTGATTTCTTGAACGTTTGTGGCAAATTTGATTCCGTCAACGGGAGGGGGGTGGCCAGGGTCGGTCACGGGCATTATCGCGAACAGTGAAGAAGCGTGCTCCAGCTACTCACCCTCCACCTGCTTCCCTGGCATGGGCTGGATTCGGTACCGGTCAGCTCTGCTGTCCTGGGCCCTGGCTGTGTGCCTTCCTACAGGCTCTGCCGAGAGCAGTTTCTTAGTAGGTGGGGAAGGAGGAGGAGGAGGAGGAGGAGGAGGAGGAGGAGGAGAGGGGAGATGGAGGGGGGGGAGGAGGGAGGAGGAGGAGGAGGAGGAGGAGGAGGAGGAGGAGGAGGAGGAGGAGGAGGAGGAGGAGAGGAGGAGGGAGGAGGAGGAGGAGGAGGAGGGGGGAGGGGAGATGGAGGGGGGAGGAGGGGGAATGGGCGAGTCAGACGAGGAACCGACATCGCTAGCCTTCCCTCGTCGCCACAGCTCGGTTCGACTCGCAATGCTGGTCACAACGTACCCCTGGAGAGGTCTGCGGAGTCGCGGTCATCGATACACTCCTGCCTTCCCAGGAAGAGAAAAGAGGAGGGGGGAGGGGGAAGGAGGAGGAGGGGGGGCAAGGAGAGGGAAAAGAGGGAAGAGGGGGGAGTAGGAGAACGTCTCCCAACAGGTGCCTCCCCAGGAAAGCCCTCGGCGTGCAGGTGGTGGATGGTCAGGGCACCACGCTTGTGCCAGCGCACTCCAGCTGTTCGAGTGTAGAATCCCCTCCACATCAACTCATCCTCTGGCACGGGCTGTGCGCCCACCCGTGTCTTCGAACGCATCCCGGCTGCCCCGACCTCCGCGGCCTCGGCGTGGCCTCCCGGCCACCCTTGCAGCAGTGATGGGGCGCCCACGCGATGCCGGTCAGCGGACGAGGCCCGGCGCAAGAGGAAGCGGTCGCCCCCCGGATGGTCGTTTGTGTCTTCAGCTTGGCATCGTTCGGACGTGTGCATTTTTCCTTCGGCGAGGACCATCGAGGAGCATCCTTGATCATTTGGGGAAAAAACCACGCACGAAACCGAAAAAAACACAGGGAATGGACGTCCGAGCGATGGCGAGTCAGCTGCCCTTGGGCAGGCTTCGCCCTCTGCCGCCAGCGTCGTCTTACTGTTCTCCGTCCGCGGGCGTTCGTCCCGTTGACATGTGGAGGACGATGGATGGAGAGGAAGCATGTTGCCAAATCGTTTCCAGATGTTTAGAAAACGTGTTAAAACTGTCTGAACCATGCAAAACATGTTTAAAACAGTTCCAGGACATTGTCCGACTCTGTAAACACATTTTGAATTTCGATGATAGGACTGTAAGGGTGTCCATTGTCGTGGCATCCACAACCCTTGACGTCGCAGACGACTTCTCGCCCTTTGTGGGCCCCGGAAACGGCAGGGCCGTTTTTTCACTGTTTCCAGAAAATGCCCTTGAAAATGGAAACGGCAACAAAAACGGCGACAGGAAACGGCTAAAAAACGGCTCCAGGACTGGAACCGGAGCCGGAACCGGTCAAACAACGGCGACGGAACCGGTAAAAAAACGGCGTCGGAACCGGCAAAAAACGGCAAAACGGAACCGGTAACAAAACGGCCCTGTCGTTTCCAGGGCCCACGAAGTTGTCGCCCCCCCAGTCGCCGAGTTCCCCCCTAAACAAGTCTGGCCTTTCTCTTGGCATCGCCCCGGCGTGTGCCTCGTGCTTCCTCGGCGAGGATCGACCGCCGAGGGGCCTCCTGGATCGCCTGTTAGGCGCAGGACGGCACGCGCGAAGCCGCCAAGCGTGCACGGGGGATGGGCGCCCGAGCGACGGCAGGTCGTTCGAGGAGAGGAGAAGCTCGGGCGTGGAGGCTCGGCGCGCGGACGCCACAGCAGCACAAGCCGCCCCCCCGCCGCGGCCCGCACGGCTCCTGTCGTGCCCGCCGGGGAGGGGCGCTGGCTGCCCCCCCGCGCCGCCTCTCCGAGCATGCTGTCCGACTGCGGGCCGCAGCAGAACAACAAAGAAGAGAGTCGCACGGCGCATCGGCGGCCAGCGAGGGGGGGGGAGGTGAGAAGGAGAAGGCGCTCTCAGAGGGCGGCTGGACTTCTCAGAAGCCCTCGCGCCTTCTGGAAAGCTGTCCGTGTCTTCCGGTCCTGCTTAGAACAGTTCTCAGAAGGCCGGGGGACTTCTGAGTCTTCTAAGAAGGCCTTCTCCTGCTCACTCCCCCCCCCCTCGCGGCACTGGGACAGCTCGGGTGCTTCACTGCCTCGATACGCTCGTTTTGGGGATGCAGCCCGTGCCCTGCTCAAGACGTCCCTGTCGATACGCTGCGAGCTGACTCGCCACGTGTTGGCCCACGTTTTGGCGAACATGTCGCGCCAGGCCTACGTGTGCACTTCGTGTGTTGAGCTCCGCGTCAGCACGCTACGCGTGGCGCGTTGCGTGTCGGGGCATCTGAGCGCTGGACTGGGACGGCTCGGGTGCGGCGGGGGCTCCTCCTCTGCTGCTGCTCCCCCGGCGCTCCTCGCGCACACCGGCGAGCCCGGGCCCAGCAGAGTCAGAAAGACAGCCGTCGGGTTGGGAGGATGGGGCTCGGAGACCAGACCCCCTCGGGTCATGAAAAAATCATGACGGCAGGTGTTTCGCTATTTTTGGCCTCTGGGGGCCCTTACCGGCCCTCGGGACCGTCAAAAAACGACTCAGGAGGAAAAACCGGTCCCGGGGAATGGGTCCAGACCGCTGGGGATCGACGTCATGAAAAAATCATGACGTCGGGGCTCGGAGAGGTGGTCAGATCGTCCGTGCTCTCGCGCATGTCGAGTCTGCCGATGACCCGTGGCACGGTCGCGCCCCGCAGCTTCCCGACCCGAGCCGCTGCTGGCCTCTTTCGCAACTGCGCGTGAGAGAGCTGCTGCTTGCTGCTGGTCTTGGGATCCGGCTCTGGGCGTTTGTGCACCCTCACGCCTGGCAGACTCCTGGGCCCAAATGGCCTGCGGAAGATGACAACAATGATATTCCACCCACCTGCCACAGCCTAACTCCGCATGCATTGGCGAGCATGTTAGGCTTGGAGGCGTGTCCGGGGCGGTTCCCGCTCTGGCACAACATTTTCGAGCACGCCAGCTCGATCACAGCATCTCGAGAGGTGTTTCTCCTTTGCGCGCTTTGCCCTCGACAACGCGTTACTCTGGTTTACTTTAGGTCGGCTCGTATAGCGATCCGAGTTTACCTACAGCAGGTCGGCTCGTATAGCGATCCGAGTTTGCCTGGCGATCTTCTGCTTTACGTTACTGTGCCAGGCACGCCGTAGTGAGTTTCAGTGGTCTCGCGCTCCCCATCTCCCATCCTCCCGAAAGAACAGTGGGACTTGTGGTGGAGTATTGCTTGCCGACTGCGGGTTACCAAGGTTTCTAGTATCACTGGTTCAGCACTGCTGGCGGAGTTGCGATGAATACGGTGCGGCGCCTCTGCTGATTCGTGGTGGTGGCCTGGAGCTCCTGCGCCAGTCTTGGGTCCTGCGAGATCCACCAGGGTCGGAGTCCTGGCAGCAAGGCCACCGGTGGCATTGGTTGTCCGCGCATTGGTTGTCCGCTCCACGCGTATTGGCTGTCCGCTCAAGCGTAAAGCAAAAATCGTCTCGACGGGAGCCGGCCTTCGCGGATCAACGTGATATTAGCCTGGCGTGGTGATGATAGCCCGGCCGACTGATAACAAAAGCAGGGCCACCGACGGCAGATTCCACGACCTCCATCGCCACGGGTCCTGCCGCGAGGGCCAGCGCTGCAGCCGCACATCGCCGCCCTGCTCCACGGATGCGCACCGCGGGCGCCGCGCTCACGCCACCGGCCCTCTCGCCCGGTGCTTCCAGCGACCCCCCGGGGAGGGCCCTCCGCACTGGCCCGCGCGCGCGCCTTCCCCCGCCGCGCGCGCTCGCCGGGGCCTGCCGCCCTCTCGCTCCAGCACGCCCCAAAAGAAAAACGCGGGTTCCAAGGAAGAGGCGGAGGAGGAGGAGGAGAAATCTAAAACGCGGGACTTGTATTTTTTTGTATTAGCTCAAAGCCGGCTAGGAAGCCGGCTTGGAACCCGGATTTAGGTTCTAGTCGCTTTATTAGTTCTCGCTTCCCGGCCGACTAACATGAAAAATCGCAAGGCCACTAATAAAAACAAAAACGCAAGGCCCCCCCCCAAAAAAGTCGGAGGCTGATCGACCTCCTGCCCTGACACGTCGCTTCGCGAACTGGCCGTTCTCGGTTCGTGGGGGGGCGTCGCGGCCCCGTTGTGTGTGCGGGTCTAGGACCGCCGGTTTCGGTCCCAGGCCGCTTTCACTAAAGAGTGGCTTACTAAAGAGAGGTTTGTCCACCGCCGAAAAAAAAACGGTGGGGGCGCGGGTTCTAAGAAAGAAGAGGAGGAGGAGGAGGAGGAGGAGAAGGAGGAGGAGGAGGAGGGGGAGGAGGAGGAGGAGGAGGAGGACGAGGAGGAGGAGGAGGAAGACGAGGAGGAGGAGGAGGAGGAGGAGGGCGCCCAGGAGGCTTCAGGCCCTGGGGGGGCTGCCTCATCTGACGAGGAGGTGGCAGTGGCGTTCACGGCCGATCCACGATCGGGTTTTTTGCTGGCCTACAGGTGGTCCCTGATCCGATGCCCTCGCCCTTGAAAGCAAACGCTGGCTGGTTGGCGCGCCCGGATGACGGCCGCTCCCCCGCCCCCCCTCCCTCCCCTTCCTTCGAAGAGGAACGCGTGGAATGCGCGTGATTTCTCGGAGATCCTCGCGGGTTTCTTGGATCAGCGCTGGGCCCCCCTGGCGGCGCCTCTTGCGCCGCCCCTTGCGCGTTCCGCGCGCCAGGGATGGGGCTTCCAGCGCCGATCTAAGAAATCCGCGTGGACCTCCGAGACATTCCCCAAGCAGTGCTTGCACTGAAGGGGTCCCAGCGGAGGTTGAAGGATTTGGCGAAAGTTTCCCGCCGATTTTGGTCGCACGCTGGGTTCCCGGGTTCCCGGTTCCGGGTTCCCGGGCTCCCGGTTCCCGGGCCGATTTCGGTGGGCGGCGAGGTTCCCAGGTTCCCGGATTTTTGGTCGATTTTCTTATCGATCGGTCTCAGCATCTATCTCATTTCCCACCTCTCTATCGATATCACCATCGATCTCACAATCGATCTCACAATCGCCTCGCAAGCGATCTCACTAGAGTTCGCACGAGCGATCTCGCGATCGATCTCCCTATCGATCTTATTGGGTCGATGTCACTTTCGGTCTCACGATCGACCTTACAATCGTCCTCTATCGATTCCATTATCGATCTCATGATCGATCTCACAATCGATCTCAAGATCCATATGACTAATTGACAAATCATCCACTGATTGGGTTGTTTTTCAGGTGTAACTTGTCTTATGTAATTGGGCCTCGTGTGCCACTGGCGGCGGTTCAGGGGGTTGAAGCCCCTGTTCTCCCTCGTCCTTCCTCCTCCGCCTCCATCCGCCTCCCGCCTCTCGCTCTGCCTCCTCGCTTCCCCTCCCCTCACAGCTACGCGGCATCGCGTGCGCGGCTGTGGTTCCCATCATGCTCGAGACGTTGAAGTAGAGACTGCTCTGCTTGGGTTCAGGAGGGACTTTGACGTTGACCCAGGCCGGGGAAGCTGTTCCTGGATCTGGCGGTGTTCCGTCTCACGTCGCAGTGAGGGTCATTTGGTGTCTGCTGTGACGGCTTGGGCAACGATCTAGCCCTGCCGTCGCCCCCACCCTTTCTCCGCCTCCGCTTTCTCCCCGTCCCAGCCTCCATCCTCCTCGACGCAACTTCTCCTCCCTCTCCGCCCCCTTCCCCTCCTCCTCCTCCGCCCCCTCCTCCTCCGCATTGTATGTATCCTCTTCATGTCTCACCCCCTTTCCTCCCCATCCCCGCCTCTCTTTCCCATCCCCGCCTCTCTAACTCATGGTCGCCTCCTCCCCCCCTTCCCACCCCCCACCCGAAGAAATCCCAAGGGAAGGGGATCCAGACGTTTTCTGCCGCAGGCGGTGAGGAGGCGGACGAGGAGGAGGAGGAGGAGGAGGACGACGAGGAGGAGGAGGCGGAGGCGGAAGAGGAGGAGGAGGAGGACGAGGAGGAGGATGAGGAGCAGGAGAAGGAGGAGGAGGAGGAGGCGGACGAGGAGGAGGAGAAGGACGAGGAGGAGGAGGAGGAGGAGAAGGAGGAGGAGGAGCAGGAGGAGGAGGAGGAGATGGAGTCCTCCCTGCCCTCCTCTGCCACCCCTCCGTCGCGCAGGTGCTCAGGTCGGGCGCCGTCGCCAGGCGGCGGGCCCCTCCGGCCTCTGCGGCAAGGGCTCGCCTCGCGTGTGCACGCCTTAGCCGAGACAGTGCGCGGGGCCTCTCCTCTCGTCCTCTCTCTCCTGTACTCTCCCTCCTCCTCCTCCTCCTCGTCCTCCTCCTCGTCCTCCCCCTCCCTTCCTCCTCCCCCATCCCCTCCCCTCCTCCTCCTCTTCTTCCTCCTCCTTCTCCTCTTCCTCATCTTCCTCCTTCTCCTCCTCCACCTCCCCTCCTCCTGTTCCTCCTCCTCATCCGCCTCCTCCTCCTACTCCTCCTCTTCCTCCCCCTTATCTTCCTCCATTCCCTGACAGGAGTCAGGATCGCCAAGGCGCAATTGTCAGGTTGATCCGTGGCTTCGGAGTCCCGAGAGCAATGTTTTGGCATTCTTCTGGGTGCTCAAACGGCCAAACGGCTGTCTTCCAACGAGGCAGTTCCCTCAATGGAACTGAACTTTTGTAGGGGCCTATGAAGAGGGAGTTTGGACGGAGGGTTTACCCCAACATCGTTGATGACTCTTGGTTTTACACTGGTCCTCCTTCTCCGCCTCATGCGCCTGTCTAATGTTAAGCAAGCCTGATGTGAAAACCTGTGGCGTTCTTGCAGTGAAGAAACGAAATGTGTACACGATTCGGCGCGCTGGTACCTGGCGGGCGCCGTTGAAAATTCTGGGACAAAAAGGGTTGAGGTAAGAGTTGTTCAACGGGTAGGCGCCCGTCAGGTATTCGAGGTCGGCATTATCCTTAGTATGACAATCCCCCCACCATCACACCGAGGTCATGGAGTAAAGGTGTACCTTTTAAGTTTCAGTGGTAGAGCCGCCTCGGTTGGTAAGGTGCAAGCAAAAACCTTTATAGGCATAAGATGCGCTTCCTGTAGTGGTGTCTTTTTAGGCTGGCTCTGCAGTCTGGCCTGGTGAATGGAGCCGCTCCCTGTGAGTCAGGGGGGGTTCCAAAGAAAGAGCGTAAGGCAAAGAGTGGCAGGTTGAAGTAAATACTGATGCTGTCTATTGGCTAGCACCGTAATTAACTGCTGGCTTGAAATTAGTGGAACCGCTCCCTGTACGCCAAGGGGTCCCAACGTAGAGGCGAAGCTGGAGGACAAGCGGTGCAATGATGCCGTATCGAGAGTGCTGCAGCTGCTGAGCTGGAGCTGCCACTAAGGCCGGCACTGTGAAGGCTGAGCTGGGTAAGTGTAACCACTCCCTGTTGCAGGGGGTCCCGGATCAGAAAACGTGAGATAAGAGATAGGAGCGCAGTAGAT